GTGTTTGGGTAGTGTTATCTCAAATCTGTTGCTCCTTAGGTTTAGAACCAGCCTAGTAGTGTCCCACTGATTCTGATCCTTTATTTTCGATGGCTTGAAGCATAGGGACCATTACCTGTGTTGTTTTTGTTTACATCGTTAGTAATAATGTGCAAAAAAAAAGCATACACTAAATTTGAATATGCTGAATATATGAACAAATTCATATATGAACAGACCATCTAACGATTGCGATTAGGGATGGCCATGGGCACCTTTAGATGGAGCTTCCCTCTATGTTGTCCACTGCTGAAGTGACCCAAGGATCAACAAATGTGATGGCGAGCATGTGGCCAATGCATTGCGTGGTGCTTTCCCATCATTGCTTGAGGCATTATTAAAACTATTTCCCCTTTCACTCATCACAACAGAGGTAGGCCCATGGATCATAGCTTTCTTCATCACAGCAGTGCAATGCCTAATCCTCACAACTGTCGTGAGCCCACATATTTCATTTAGAGCCAACTTATGATAAATCAGCAAGCAATTTTTTTCATTTTGGTTTAGCATTTTTGTGTTCTGGCTTTAGCATTTTTAGTGTTGTAATGATCTGCCATTGATGATGATGCCAATCCATGCTTTTGTACTAGAGGATAGGGCTTAAAGAGACTACTTTTGTGTGTTTTTAGATGACAGATTCTTAGTTAAAGACTACCTTGTGTGATAATGACTTCATTTAGCCCGGCAGTAATTTTTCTTTGCACACACACACACCCATCCACCGTTAACAGATGATCCAATGCACCTGCGCTGATGGAAGCCTCTGGAAGCCGGCCTTATCACAAGCACTTCTGCATTATCTCACATTTATCTCCTCCCTTTCTCTCCCCTGCCATGCGCTTGTCGACACCCCCTCGCCCTCCGTCTCCGCCGTGGTGGAGGGCAAGGACGGGAGCGTCGTGCATGTCTACGGCTCCGATGGCAGCCCCATCGGGTGGTGCATCCACGTCTCCCTCTTCTACAAGGCTGCGACGCCCTTCCACTTCATGCCCCCTGTGCCGGCACCACTTAGTCGCCCCGTGCTCCGCCTCTCTGTTGTCAGCATGGAGGTCTAAGGCACTGCTGATGAGCTGCTGGGCCAGGTGGATGCACAATTCGAATGCAAGCCTCGTGTCGTGCTGCAGGAGTAGCCTTGCACGGCGTGGCTGTGTGGTCCGGGCTGCCCCATGACCTTGGATCCGGATGGCGTTTTGCTCCTCACCGTGTCTCCATCCCAGGTCCTCCTCCAAGCGGGGCCACATAGGCACTCGCTGATCTCGCCTTTACATCTAACCTTGCTCGCCTAAATTTTAGAACTATGTGCACCCATTTCTCCTCATGCCTGAGCTAGTAGCCTTCATTTCTGGTTATCTCAATATTATTGCTTTATCAACCACACTGTTTTGCCTAATATATAACCATATTATTGCTTAATTCTTAACACTATTTTGCCTAACAGATGAAATAAAGGCTTGAAAGGTTCCTGCACCTGTGTGCTTCGCGTGTAGGAACTCCAAGATTCAGTAAGATCTGTGCCCTCGGCACATGAAGGATAAGCAGTTCTGGAGGATATACTTCCTGCTCGCCAAGAGTTACATCTCACCGTAAGCTCTCGTCTTAACAGTATCCCCATGTGTGTGTGATGCTCGAGTTTGTCAATCGTTGAATAATGAACGGAATTAGCAACATAAGTTCACTTTAGCATCTCACTTTGGTTACAATCAATTGAGTTCTATCTTCTATGGAGTTCACTGTAACCTTATCAAGTACTTCAAAATTATATATGGATTGTGGTTTTTGTAGTGTGGATATAGTATTCTGCTGTCCTTGTACATAAACAAAATGAATCTTGTCTCTTCAGATGTGAGTAAATCTGCATATTCAGAAAAATCGAACTTTGGACCGATGAACATACTGAAAATCGAACTTATCCATTAACAGCAACATCCAAATCATCGGCATTATGTTTCTTCATGCTATGACTGCTTGCTATGCTTTTGTTACTCTACTTTTACCATCACGAAATGTTGGAAGGTGACTGTTCTTTACTATACATACTTCTGCTCGGAAGATGAAACACATTTTCAACTACATAGTCACATAGATAACCTTAAAAGGGTTCTCCTGTCGGAAGGTTACTGAACAGGGCTCTTTATCTAGAAAATGAACAATGGCATGCACAATTCTTATGGTCAATTGTTTCTTTCAGATTTGCAGTCAAACATTGCTTTTGTTTGGTTCTATCTAGTAAATTCCCTATCCCACATCCTAAGACTTCCCTCTTGTTTGCAGGGTCATGGTCCTGTCGATGAATTCCCTTACATGAACACTTCAACACCTACAAAGCATTTTCTTCAACAGTTACAAGCAATTTAGTTCTGCTACTAAAGCAGTTTTAGTTAGCTCATTATCCAAAATGAAAATTGAATGCATGGTCAACAGAAGATATGAAGGGAACCAGTAAGGATCGTAACAGGAAGAATCTTGGAGTGGAGATACAAAGGGAAGAAACATAGAAAATGCATTAATCTGACTTCAAATACATGTTACTGTTGATACTTTTGCCTCCACACTTGCTTACTGTTGGATGTATGTGATTTTCTTGATCATCTTGGGTTCTGTGGTGTACTGGACGATACATGAGGTTTTCTAGATCCAAGCTGGTGGAAAATACATGTTACTATGTGAAAGTTATAAAATGCTTACGGTAGAAGAAGATGGGCCGGTGAATCTGCCTTTTTTTTTTGTGGGCCTGGCTTGGGAGCCGCGCTCTTTTGGCGCGTCCGTGGGTTAAGCGCGCGGAGCTCTCCCGCCTCCGCTTCTTTCCATATACTCCGTATGTATGTATGGCAAGCGCGTTGGTTGATTTTCCAAAATAGAGTACGCAGTCGGATGGTGGATTTCCTGCACGCGCTGCCTGCAGTAAATAAAATTCAAAAATATAAAAACTGTATCACGAGGCAAGTGGGCGGCGCGCTACCGCATCCCTCGCGTCTCCGTTTCCGTCTCTCTCTCTGTCTCGCATCGCATGCCTTGCCGCCGACCCCGACGCGCGCCTCAGGGTGGCGGCGGCGGCGCGCTCCAACCTGCCGGGCGCGCTCGCCGTCTTCGCTGCACGACCTCCTCCTCCTCCTCCGCCCCCTGCGGCTGCGCGCCCCGTCCTCCTCACCTTCACCCGGGGCTCCTCAAGCTCTGCGCGGCGCGCGCAGACCTCGCCACGGGCCGTGCCGTCCACGCGCAGCTCGCCGCGCGGGAGGCTCGGAGGCGAGCCCTTCGCCGCCACCGCGCTTGCCAACATGCAACATGTGCTTCAAGTGCTGCCGCCCCGCCAACGCGCACAGGGTGTTCGACCGGATGTCCGCCAGGTACAGCGTCTCCTCAAAGATTCTCAGTGGTGATTCTTCCGCAATGGACAAGAAAGGACTCTAGAAGGCTCCTGGATGCAGTATTATTCCACTAAAAAATGAGGTCCATAACTTCTACTCTGGATGCAAATCACCAGCAAGCAAAGGAAATATATGCAAGGCTGGGTAAGCTCATTGAAGATATCAAAGCTGTGGGCTATGTGCTAGACACTGATTCGATACATGATGTCAAGGCATAACTTCTTAACACCCACAATGAGAAGCTTGGCATAGGGCTCATTTGAACAGCCCCTGGCATGACAATTCAGATAAAGAAGAACCTTCGGGTTTTTAACGATTGTCATAATGCGACCAAGTTATTATCTCTAGTGACAGGATGGGAAATAATCATGAGAGATATTCAACGCTTTCACCACTTCAAGGATGGTAAATGTTCATCATGGAGCCTACTGGTAGTGAATGAAATGTTGAAGGCAGTCTGAATATCCATTTTTGAGATTATATAGGAGACTTCACACTGCTGGTACAGAAATACTAGTATAAAATTAGACTAAAAGGTAATGCTAACTATTCTAGTGGCACACATCATGTTTTTATCTGAGCATTCTCTGTGTCCAATTTTCTATTGTGATGGTCAGACTTAGAACTGCCAATGATTTCTTAAGGAGTGTATACCATGTTTTGTTATAGGCTCTGTAGTGGACATTTGCATTGTGGTACTTGGTTAAGCTAGAATTGTTCAGCAGCTCTTATAATCTCTTCACCATTCCAGGGAACCTTTTGTAGAGTTATAGATTTCACTTGGTCCTTAATACATTTTTTTTTACTTCCATACAAAAGTAGTGCACAAGAGATTGTCTGTTGAGGCCACTGTTCTTCATCTTCATTTGTTGTTTGGAACTAAATGTACATGATGAAATCAGCACTGGTAACTGAAGAAAGAAGTTTTTTTTCTCTAATTATTACATAAGAATTGTGGGTTGTGTTTTTAGTGACCAAGTTGGTAGTTCTTTATAAGGATCAAATGATACTACATCAAATGCTATTCCTCTAAAAAAATGAAATCTCTGAATCACCATTTTGTTCTAGCATTACCCCAAAATTTACACCGGAAAAATAAATCATAGCCAGAGCCGTGGTTACAGTGTGTCTATGTATCTCAAACTTTTTATCCCTTTTTTGGAGAGGACGTATGACTTGAAGCCACAAGATTTCATATCATTCTGAACATTACTTCCAGTTATTGCTGCAAATCTATTTTGGAGCAGTAATGAACGAGCATGTCAGTCATCTTTTGTTTAGTTATTACTCCTTTTACTGATATATACGGTTGACTTCTGCTTGCCAACTGTAGCGATGAACTCAACTGCCACTTTTAATGCATTAATAGATGCCAGATTCATCAAGCTTGTTGATGACCATGTTGGTTCCCCTCCAGCCAAATCAGATACTCCTCGGAATACAATCACAGGTATGCCAGGTGATGTTGTTGTCTGTTGAATCAGCATGAGAGTTCGCTTAATTGTAGCACTATCTTAAGTTACATCATCAGGATGTACTTTAAATATTGGTTAGCATATAAATGAAAAGTAAGAGACATCATCTGTTAAAACTCACCATCACCACTGCTGCGCTCTCCTCATCTACTGTTGACACCCCAAATTCTCTGAAAAGGAACTTTCTGTATTCTGCATTGTCAAGAAACATGTCAGCTGATGATCCTTTAAGGCCATAGACAACTTGTGGAGTTGTCGGTAAGCAGAAAGTGTCATTGCATCTTTCAAGTTTGACCTGCAGAGCAGAAATGTCACAAATAGTAGTCTGTGATTAGTTGTGCACAAACATGTATTTGCTATGCAATTATGTTACTGATATATTGTGTGGCACTCACCTTAAGTTGTTCTGCAATTCTGAACCATGCTGAATCTACAGGTAGCCAGAAAACTTCTTCCATAGGCTTGCCAACTGAGTATAGCTCCTCATTTCTGTATTTCAGGGATCCTAGCAAATTCTCTCCTCCATTTGGGATGTTATATTCTCCAAAGCTTAGTTCTGCTGATGACTCTTTCGGTGATTTGAACTTCTGTGATAATCAGAAAACCAGAGATCATGCTAAGGGGGTGAGTTTGCTGAATCGTGCACAGATACTTGGAGGTTGCATTTTATAAATTATATTATATTCCTATTGTGAATTTTTTGCATCTATATTTGCAATTGCAGCATTGGATCTTGAGGTGGGTTAAAGAAGCTGATTCCAGTTGGAGGGGTACCTTCCATGTCCAGGCACCCGTGTAAGCAACAAGCTTGGGAACACTGACGTCGCCAAAAGACATGGAGTCATTAGAACTCCCTGCCGTGCCGTAGTGAACAATACCAGACACGCTGAAGACATCGATGAGAGTCTGTACGGTGACAGCGGCGTTCAACTGGAAAACCAAGGAAGGAAGGTAGCAAGTAGTAAGAGGTAAGCATGAAGGTAAAGTTACACAGAAGGTAAACGCAAACGAGTCCCTTTCAAATTTGAGTACCCTGCGTTGCCCTGTCAATGCGTATATAACGTTCACTCCCCGTATGCCGCCGATGTGATACCGTCGTCCTGAAACATCGTGGTAGGTCAGATTGCATTGTATTCTTGAGGGGGCCAACAATAGGATATAATTACGCACTCGATGACTAACTGGAACATTGCCTTATGATTTCGAAGCGAACACGGTATGGATGTATGCAGGTAGGTAAGTAAGTAGAACAAAAGGAAACAAAAAATTTAGAGGCCTGTGATAACAACTTACGACACATTTGTTTCCCGTTTGAGGTCAAGTAGGTCTTATGCTATTTCTGTCGTGCACATTGTTTTTGAGGCGCTGCGGCGACGCGCGGCGCCGTACCCCCTTCACAACGCCTAGGTGTTTATGGCGGACACCTAGGCGACGCCATACGATCATTTTAATATATAATGATACTAAAATTCAGAAGCAAATCATACCTTAATATTGCCAAGTCTTAGCATGTAATACCATAATAAATAATGCTACTAGAGTGCTAGTGCACAACGTAAAGTAACAAAATAGCAAATCTGAAATCTCTCATCACTCAATAGCCACAAATTAGTCTCTAATAACATAATATAACTTAATGACTAGTGCTGCAGGGAAAGAAACAGAGGAAAGAAACAGAGGAAGAGGGAAAGAAACAGAGGAAGAGGAGGGAAGCAGAGGAAGAGGAGGGAAGCAGGGTTGCAGAGGAGACCAGAGATGAGGCAGCGAGCATACGAGGTGGACGGGTAGACGGTCGACGGAGGCAGGTGAGCAGGTGCGGACGGGTAGGAGCTGCAGGTGCGGTGCGGACGGACCCCTGGTGGACTCGAGCAGCTAGGAGGAGATGCAGGGGCGGACTCGCGGGAGGTGCGCGCGGCCGGTGGACTCGAGCAAGGAGCGGCAAGCCTCCGCCTCCGCCTCTGCCGCCAAGAAGCAGGGACGCCGCCTCTTTTCCTCTCCTCTCTCCGTGAAGCTGCAGCGGCCCGCACCTATGGTAAAAGCCCTCGAGCGGGAGGTCGATTCCCGCCAGTTTTCATTGCGTCCGCTCGATTCCCCGCCCGACTTGCTGCTCCGGCGTCCGCCACAGGCCTCTAGGCGCTCGCCCGACGCCTTTCCACGCCTAATCTCATATGGCGGATGCCATACGCACGCATGCCGTGGCGACCCCGACGCCCAGCACCCTGGGCACGCCTTGTCGCCTAGGCGACGCCTCAAAAACAATGGTCGTGCACTTGTTTCTTTTGTGGCAACATATTAAGCTGACACAGCTATTGATGACACCTAAAATCAGAGTCCTGTAATTACATCTTATGACACATTTCTTTCCTGTTTTGTGGGCAAGTAAGTCATGCTATTTTTGTCGTGCACACCTTACAATTAGCTCTGCTAGTGCCGGGTGCTCATCAGTCCTAGTTTATGCTTTCTACTAAGAAGAGGGAAATTGTACAGGTAATGTACTGTAGCTGTGAATTGAATTGATATACGAGAGCATCTCATCTCATCAGTCATCTCATGCTTATGATCTTTTTGTTACCATTTTTGTATCACCAGGTGATGGAAATGGCACCAGAAAAGTCAACGGCAGGATCAGTCAGTCAGGCAGGCAGGCAGGCATGAGTATCCAGACAGACCAACAGATGACCACAGGGGGATCGGAGGAGCAGATAATAATAAGCACGTGAATGAACAAATGGACGGCTGAGGTTAGACTTACTGTACCATAGAGGTCAACGAAGGGGAGGACACGCCAAGGCGTGAAGTAGCCGGAGGCCTGCAGCGCGGTGGCCTCGTCGACGTAGGACATGACGAGGCCGAGGGAGGGGCCCCGCCGGTTGACCCTGTCCACCTGCCACCGCGCGCGGTCCATGGCCGGCCGCGCCGGCAAGGCCGCCGCCGAGCCCGCGAGCAGCAGCAGCAGCGAGAAGAGCAGGAGCTGCAGCGGGGTCGTCTCTGGGTAGCCGGAGAGCGCCATGGCCGTGCCTGCCTGCCTGCTCTGCTGTGTCAACTGCCTAGAATGTGTGTGTGCGAGCAAGCAAGCAGGCACTCACTGGACGTTTTTAAAGGCAGGGGCCGGGTGGAGCGGTGAGCAAGAGACGATGGTCTATTGGTCTGTGTCGGTGTACAAGAGCAGAGCAGAGCAGCGAAAAGCAGGTTGGCGCCTGTAGGGCCTGTTCGCTCGAAATTATCAGCGGACTTATTAGCTATCTATAGTATTTTTCTCTCACAGCAAAACAGCTTTAGTCGACTTATCAGCCGGTTTTAATATCAGCCGAACTAGCCATTGATGGAGGCCGTGAGCCGCGTGCTTAAGTTTTTTAACTGCTTTTATTCATTATACATATATTATATAGTAGGAGTAGTAGTTTTATAGGGTGGGGAAAAAAGTGCAGCCCATGTCAAGAAAACAAGGAACCCAATTTACCCAATGAGCTGCAGGCTGCAGCTGCTGCTATCCTGTCGCATTATTTATTATTCTCTGCTCCCAGTCCCAGCCCTTTCCGGTCAATCCGATTGGGATTGGCTGCCCCCTTGGCCTCGTTGTTGTTGCGCCCACCAATCTCAACCTGGCAGTCATGCCAGCAAAACCGACCTTGTATTTAAAACGTGTGTTAACCTACACTAAGCCACTCCCTGTGTCCCAAAAAGATTATTATTCTAGGTTTGAACCAAATTAAGTTTTTTTAAATATTAATTATATTTATAGAAAATAATATTGACGTTTATGTCCTCAAATGGATTTACTATGAAAATATATTCATAATTAATTTAATGATATTTGTTTGATATTATAAATGTTACTGTGTTTTTTTTAGGTCCCGTTAAATTTTAAATTATTTTGACTCGTCAAAAACAAAAAATGTTTTTTTTCTAGGTATGGAGGGAGTATTTCTGAAGATCAAGCCAGCAACTTGGTACTGTATAAATGGACCTCCATCGCATTGGGTCTTTCGGCCTATCCCTACCCCCCTCCAAACAAAAAGTTAAGAAATGGGCTTTTAACTGTTGGAGCTGCTGGAGAAGAAAGAAAAACGATAATGCTAGCACACGGGCATCCGTCTAGACGTGTTTCCGTCCATAGGGCTCATTCCTAGGCCTGCCCAACGATCTGGCCCAACAGACCTCCTCTGCTCCATCTTCAGTACGACGCGGTTTCTCTAAAAAAAACACAGTGACATCTTTTCCCCACTGCTCCACACATGCGACTGTCGCGAGCGCATCCACCGCGATGTCCACCGCTGGCCTTCTCCAACGTGGCAACCTTCTCCAGCCGCCATCTTCCCGTCCGGACGCCGCGTGTCCACTCTGCCTCGCTGCTGTTGCACGCCCATCCAAAGCCACTCACTCCTGCCCGTCGCGCGTGTCGCCCGCTGGCCGGGCCAAGCCTGGTGCTGCTAGCGATGGTGGTGGTGGTGGTGCTCACGCGGCGCCGACTCTGACCCTGACGACTGGAATCGCCCTACTCTAGGCTCCGCATGTTGCAAGCACATGTTTCAAGTGTTTCAGATGTTTGGTAGGTATGTTTCAAGTGTTTCATGTGGATGTTGCAAATGTAGATCGGGATTTTGAATAGGTTGCAATGATTGTACACATATGTTGCAAGTGTCTGTTTCAAATGTTTCATCTGTTTTTTTTCAGACGTATGTTACGAATGTGTTTATCTGGATGTTGCATATGTTTTACACATATGTTGTAAGTGTTTTATCTGGATGTTGCATATGTTTGCAATTATTTTTCAAATGTTTTTCATGTGTTTCAGACACATGTTTCGAATGTTCCAGCTGTTTCGTACGTATGTTGCAATTGTTTAATTTGAATGTTTCAAGAGTAGATCATGGGTGTTGCAATGTGAGCCACCTGCCGCAGCTATTGGGGTGCCGTGCATGGAGCGGCGCAACAAACTTTGAGGGGCGCGGGAAGCAGGGAAGCGTGGGGGAGTGGCGCGGGCGGGCCCTGCCTGTGCGTGCAGCAGGCGCTTGCACGGGCGTTGCAGCAGGCGCGGGCGTCCGGATGTCCATGCGCTAGTGCTGCCCAAAGAAAAAGTAAGGCATGTTTTGTTGGAGCCAGCCCAATTAACAATCCCAATCCTACTGGACACACTATACGTAGACTAGACAGTTTCACCTCGTTTGAACCAAACAAGGCCATAATAGAGCCCACAGTTGCTCGGCAGCTGGGGCTTAGCAACATTACACATGCTCAATAAGAGAAGAAAAACCAATTCGCAATATTATCTCATGTTGTGCTTGGAGACCAATAAACTCTGCCATAAATTTGTAGTTGTATTGTAAAGCATCTGAGCTTGACAGCTTGTAGCAATCTATGGACAAACCTTAATAAGACTTGCTTTCTTTCTGAGCAATTCCTTCACTTCAGGTTAGCAAGAGTTGTCGACTGGGAATGGATATGTCTCCTCAGGATGAGGAGGCGACACTGAGCAATGATGCTACAATCAAGGATACGGAGGTATGCGCTTCTTCTCAAGCAATAGCTTATGAATACAGGCAAACAACCTGAAAATTGACTTATGCTAACCTAGCATCCCTTGTATCCTCCATTTATCCTAGGGCCATTTTTACAAACCTTACATATGTGGTAGTTATTATCTGGTTGAAATAGACAGCCATGGGCAATGCGTTTTGTTGTTATCTGAGATCTTTTGAAGTTAATACGTGATGCAAAGTTTAATAATCAGCATGGAGCAATTGCGTCAGGTGCACTGGTGCTCAGTGTGAAGTTCAGCAGGCTGATTATGCTGCTTTCGTTGTCTACTTTGCCTCTCTGCTTCCTCTTCACTTGCTAGTTGTACGCAGTGATTTGAGCCCTCAAAAGTGGTCTGATTCCCCCTCGTTTACCTTTTGCAGGGAGCGCCGGCCGGTGGCATACGTCGCTGACATGTTCTCAACGCCATTGCTCTTTGCAAAAGCCGTGACTGACATTGTGGATAGGAAGACGCCGACGGCAGAGGAGTTTCTGCAGATCTCTGATCTCCGATCTCTGAAGAAAGCTCCAGCTGAATGTGGTGGACTACGTCAGCGGGAAGCGCATCTCTGATCTCTGAAAGCTCCAGCTGATTGTGGTCATGAAACCCAAGATCCCCTCTGCTCCGAAATGCTAGCAGGCTAGGGTGCAACACAGTATTTGCTCAATGATTTATAGAGGGGTTTAATATGCGAGGCTTTACCTTGTTAACCCTTGTGTATGTACAATGTTGTTGGCAATTGATCAGAGCAGGCCATAGCGTGGAATTTTGTAGAATAACTAGGACGTGTGGCGCGCTTCGCCGCGCCCGTCCTGTTGCAGGTGATGACGTGAACCAATATGCTGTGGGTGCATCAAACTGGATTATTAGAAACTTCATCCAGAACATTTGGTATTTTGTTAGCGGATCATTTTGAAGTAATAAGGTTTTGCTAAATTTCTTCTTAGAGAGCGTGATTTCAAGTTGCATAACAAATATAACTGACTTATATGCACCTTGTGACAGAAGGAAAAAAATGGGGAAAATATCAGGCAGTAAATAAAATCTTTAACGGTGATTGCAATTGGAACAAAAATTTGATGAACTCTAATAAGGTCAAATCGGATAGACATATAGGCCAAATATTCTCTTTATATGAAGTTTTGGTAAAATCCTTTACAGAAAAGTACAACTGCAGCGAATTATACATACAGATAGTGCATGTGTGGCATGGACCACTACAGTTAAAGCAATTGATAAAACATCCTAGGGACTGGCTAGAGCAATATACATGAACAGAGCAACAGAAGGTATGTAGGTTCGACTTGAAAACATCAAAACTTGATGGATAAAGTCAAATTCATCATTTTCCTTTTAGAAGTCCTGCAAAGCATGTCCATCAACAACTCTATAACATAAGTAATCCAAAGATAGAAGCACGTAGATTTTAAGTGCACAGTATCTCGCAGCAGGGTCAGATCAGAAGCACAAGCATGGATGGATGTATTACTTGAATAGAATGAAGCTATTTTTTGGAAAAGAAAAGTATGGCCCTGCTGTTATTTTCAGTACTCATTAAGTCACAAATGGGGAAAAGAACAACTATAAAACTATTAGTGCACGGGTACATACATACCATTTTGTTCAGAAGGCACCAATTCAGATACCTCTGAAATTTATTCATTTTATTTTGCTGCATAAGGTACTGGTAGAACTGACACTGCACAGTTACATACCTCGAGGTCCACCATTTTGTTGAGAGGCCACCAATTCAGATAGTCTGAAACTACATCATTTTATTTTCATGCATAAGGGCTTCAAGTTAGCGTAACCAAACAAATAATCTAATTGAACAGGCACATGTCCATGATACACGCTAAAGCGAGATAATTTTTCATAGACCCTTAAAAAGTGCCGTCACAGATAAGCATATTTTTCTTAGAGCAGAAATACATATTGTTCTACAGGCTATACAAATCTTGCTGTTCAAGAAGGGATATGTTGAAGTTCAGTATGACAGAGGCCATAATAACGATGACTCAATCAACCAAGATGGCATGTTTTGTATGTATAGAAGAGAAATCACTTTGGAGCTAATCACTGGAAAAACTACATAAGACTCCTTGCCCTTAATTGATAGGTAGAGCTGGTGCTAATTAATACAATCACCTCGGAAACAAATTAGGTCAATGCTGCTTGAAAAAAAATACGATGGAAAACAACGTAATATACGATAATCACAAGACAAAAGAGCACATCTATCATGTAGTTTTCGTAATACAACCATGGAAATATATGACCAAGACATGCAGATTAAAATGAGCAGCTTTGATTTAGGGAACCAGAGAATGGCTGTCACCAAAGGCTACTTTTATATACATCAAGAACACTGAACCTTTTTTGTCATGAGCCAGAGCAAACCATTAGACTGAGACATCCCTTTTAGGTACACATCAAATTCAGCCCTTGGTTGTAGCACATGAAACACATTGAAATAAAGATGTGTACACGAA